CAGTCTGTCCTTTTCATGCTCACTATTGTCCCCCAGTTCATGCCTCGACGGCTACAATTGCCTCCTAAATGGTCTCTCTAGCCTGGCTTCTCTTCCATCTTATTCTTCCTACACATCGTTACTACAGTGCTATGACTAAAACATTATTTCAATTTTCATTCTCAAAACCATAACAGCATCCCTGTCCATGATATAGACTTCGGGCTCAAGGCTGTCCCAAATCTAAACTTAATTTACCTGCTTTACCTCTCTGTATTCTGGTATCCAAATCAACACTTATCCAACCTACATCACAAGTTCCCCTGCTTCTAAACTCTTACTCAGGGCCTGAGGACTCAAGATACCCCTCTCTCCCTTTCCATCTAGTAAAATACTATTCATCCTTCAAGATTCACCTCAAATTCTGTATCTGCTCTACAGCTCAAAGTGATCTCTCCCATTCACTTGAATTTATCATTTACTACCTCATATTGCAAAGGAAAAGTATGTACATAGGTGTATCTTATTTCCCTAACAAGCTAATAAATTCCAAAATAATTCAGAGAACCTGTCTCATAGACTAACATAATACATTTCACAGTAAGACCTCAAGATATTTTTGTGCCATAAGTTCTCTCTGAATTTCAGTTTTTCTAAGGTCTCCTCCAGTAAAAATATGTTTAAATCCCTTTAGCACCAAGAAAAATCAATATCGGAGTTGATTGACACAAAGTGTCTTTTTATAAAACCTGAAGTCTTTTACGGCAGAAGAAACTTCACTAAAAGTACATAAAGTCATCCTCCCAGACTTCCCTTGGATAAACTTTTTTTTTTCAAAAAAAAAATCATTCTTTTTTTTTGAGAGATTTTCACTGTAGGGCGCGTGCGCTCGCCAGACAGAGAGAGACATAGAGACAGAAAGCGAGAAATCACCCCCAGGGGGGATGGTCACGCCGCAATCCCTTCTCCTCCATTCTCCTCTCGGGATCTTGGGCACGCACGCACAGGCGCCCGGCGTGAGTTTTAAGCCACCGGGTCCGGGACACGAACCGCGGTCGACTACGTGGTAGTCCAGCGACATAGCCATTACGCTAACTGCTGGTTCCCAAAAAAAAAAAAATCATTCTTTGGGGCCAGCAGGTGGTGTGGTGGTTAAGGTGATGGGTTCCCATATAGTTGACCATGGTTCATGTTCCCATCAGGCGACTTAAAAATCACACTGGGTACATGTGCGTGCATGCCCAAAATCCCAAGAGGAAATAGAGGAGAAGGGATTGTGGTGTGGCCATCCCCCATGGGGAGTGTCTTCTCACTTTGTCTCTCTCTGGCAAGCACACGTGCCCTATAGCAATACCTAAAAAAAAAAAAAAAAGTTCTTTATACATGCTTCAGTGTCATCAAGGCCATCTTAGGGATGACGTAGAAAAACCTTAAAGAGCATGTACCATTTGTTAATATAATGCTAAAGAAGACAATGAGAATGATTTTCACCCTCATCATTATCATTTCCAATCTCAGAATAACTAACATTAATTTTACCTTGATGGTTAACGAAGCACTTTGATGCTCAGTGAAAAGATAGCATTGTAGTTATTATTTCTTTTCTATTCTACGGATGAAGAAACTCAGACTCAAAAATGTCTCATGACTTTATTAGGGTTGCCCAGCTTGGAAGTAGAACTACTGGCACCCATGTCTTCTGCCTCCCTTTGCACAACAGGCTATGGTTTTGCAGCTGCCTCCCTCAGAGCACGTTTGTGGTATTTGAATGTGGCAGGGTCTTTGTTTTATGCTGGTGCAAACCCTTTTGTTAGCAAGCACAGGATTCTTGTCAACAAAACCAGCAGTGCAAACATAATAGGTCTTCCCCTCGCTTCGCCTCTCCACCACCGCCAGTGCCCAATTGCCCTTTGATACTCCAGCACATTTCCTGAGTGACTTGCTGTGAGAGGAGCCTGCTAAAACCACAGCACACAGCAATAATTTATAGCTCTTCAGCTGCCTCCATATTGAGGTGTCAGCTTTAGCAAACTGTACGCTTCCTGGAATATGGTGAGAGAACTCACCACACTTATGAACCTGTCGAACTCATGCTCTGTCCATCTCACACACCTAACCTGAGACCAAAAAATGGAGTGGTAATGAGGCGCTAGGACTTGACAAAGCCTTGAAATGCATGAGACCTGGGGCAAGGATAAACTATATAATACGTAGGACTCAGTGCAAAATGAAAATGTGGAGCCCTTCATTCACACAATACGAAGAATTTCAAGGTGGCATAGAGATGTCGGATTAAGCTTAGGGTCTTCCTGAGCCCAGGACTCTATGTGACTTCCCGGTCACTTGCCCATGTCTGGAACATCCAGGGATTTAGGCTGGGGTTCAACCCAGGAGAACAGTTCAAGCAACAGTGCTCAAGGGTTTGGGCAAACTCTGACTGCCACTTCTGAAGGAAGTGTTAACCTTTCAATCTATTTCCCCAATTGTTTTGTTCCTCTTGCCATTTAGCATTCATGATCATCGTGGTTTTCTTTTTTTTTTTAAGACTTACATCAAAAGCTGGGGAGCCATGCACACCCCAGGGATGCAACATTGTTCTGTGGGTCCCAGGGTCCCTAACTCAACAACTGGTGTGTAGCTAGCCCTTAATAAACTAGTTAGATAAATGAGTCTAGTTTCTCCCTTCCCCCTCCTGTTGCATCTTCTTCTGTACTTATCACTTCCCAAGTAAGGTGTCAGGCCTCATCTGGGGTATTTCTCCTAAGGGAAAAGTCTCCTTTAGGTGGAAAGAAAAGAGGGTTATGTCAGCCACCCCCCAGGGCTCTTTCATTAGTTACTGAGCTGAAGGATAAGGGGAGTCCTAGTGAGACTGCACCATCAGACTAAGGAGTCCCTTTGTTTTTGTGACACTCCAGAGTGACTTGTATTCTGAATGACCCTTATTCTTGCCCCCTGTGTGTTAGTCTTAGATAAATGTCAAAGTCAGCCTGAACCCATAACTGTGAGAACCATATGTCCTTATCATTGGGTTTACGCGCAGCCAGTGCATATCAGAACAACCCAACTAGTCCTGTGTGGCCAACATCCCTTTCTGATCGGTCAGTGCCCGTTGTCATATCAGCTATTAAATATTTTAATATCCCCATGGTGGCCCCAAACATCATTTATTACTGAAGAGAAGTCACTAAGAATAACACGATATCAAGGAGGAAGAAGAGCAGAAAGAAACAACACTTACAATTAATTGCCTCTCATTGGACAACTCACGTATATAGTAAAACAACTTATCTTCATAAAGTGGTATAGAAGAGAAGGAAGAATAAATGAGCCTTTCATTTTTCCCATGTTACATTTTTTTTTTAGGTTTTTACCATAGGGCATGTGCTCTTTTCAGAGAGGAGGAAGACGAGAGAGGGAAAATGAGAAATCAACCCCCGAAGGGGGGGTGACCATGGCACAATCCCTTTTCCTTCATTCTCCTTCTGGGATTTTGGGCATGCATGCACACATGCTCAGTGTGATTTTCAAGCCACCAGGTCTGGGACACAAACCACGGCTGGCCATGTGGGAATCTGACCACTTTAACTACCATGCCACCTGCTGCCCAAATTACATTTTGAAAGTGCTCACCCTTTGGCTTTCACTGGAAAACATTCCTTGGATACCCAGAACACATGAAGTTCCCCAGCTAGTCTCTCTCAAAGTATTGTAATAGCTACACATTTTGTGAACTTCATAAAGTTAGTGGAGAAAATGGAATTAAAGTATCATTTTATTTTGGTGCAAAACGAAATTGAAATTTATACTTAGGTTTTTCACATTTTTCATACCTTTTATGAAAACTCCTCGAATCTATGTATTTGTTGGTGTGATTATCTGATTCACATTGGGATCTTCCTGTTCGAGAGAGTGGGAATTATGTTTGACTCATCATTGTACTCTGTGCTCCTCTTTGTATGGTACTTAAGAGAGTAGATGTCTGACAGACATCTGTATTATAAATGAAATCAATAAATACCAGCCATAGTATCTGGAGTAAAATGGACCCTGAATAAATACATACATGCATTCATAAACATGGGAATGAATAAGTGAAGTTCTGAGAGTGCAGGCAACACAGGAGTGGGCTCCACTTATTATTCCATTCTACAAATATGTAGTAAGTATCTACTATGTGTCAAGTACTCATCTAGAAATTGGGGATTTTTAAAAAATATCTCCCCCCAAAAAGAATCACCAACTTGGGGAATATTTTCACCAGAGCCTCCAAAGCATTCGCTGCCTGTATCTTCTAGGAACAGAGGCAAAACTGTAACTTGCTTTTTGCAAAGAGCACAGTTAAAAGACAAGTAGCCTAAGAATCCATGAACCCAGCTACTCCAGGCTCTTCGGCCAGCTCTTTCACTGCTCAACAAGATGATCTTGGGAAAGAAACCTACTTAATATCTTGGACCTCATGATGGTTTGTGGTCTTCACCTCTCAAAAGCCCTCTCACTTTCAGAGTCTATAAATCTGGGTAAACATGTTTTTAATAAATCGGATCACAAGAAATTCACTGAGAGACTTAGTTTGGAATGGGAATCCTTTAGAAAACTTAGCTGCCATCACATATTAAATATTCCTAGAATTCAATGCAAACAAACAAACAAAAAAGACATTCCTAAGAAACTGGATGGTGAGACAGATGGTGGCCTAGTGGCAAAATATGAAGCTTTGTGTGGCTGACCCACATGGGAAAGTTCCAGTCTCCCTCAGAGATCTCCACAAGAGCACAGGGCACTCCTGTGCCCATGGTTTGGGCTGGCTAGAACTGGGGCTGATCATGGCATCTGGTCTCTGGGGAGGGGGGGATGCTGCCTCTCTGCCTGTCTCTCTCTCTTTCACTCACAAAGAAATAAATTAATTAACAAGTAAAGAAACTGATGAGCTTTGACTACAGTAGCTCTGCAGACAGATCCAAGGCTGGGAATTCTGAAAGGTGCCACAGTCTTTGGTTATAGTTTTCTCTTTCTGTCCCCAGGGCCGGAAGCAGCTGGAAGAGATGCAGACCTCTCTGTGGTGAATGGAGTTCTGGGAGAGTCCGTTACTTTCCCCTTAAATATCCAAGAATCATGGCAAGTGCACAACATTGTTTGGAATTCTAAAACATCAGTCGCTTTTGTGGAAACAGGAGACCAAAGAACACCTAAAGTGACCGTGACCCACAAAAATTATCGTGGACGAATACATGTGTTAAGTGAGAACTACAGCCTGGTCATTAGCGGTCTGAGGATGGAAGATGCAGGAGACTACAAAGCAGACATAAACACAAACACCATGTCAGAGACTATCACCAAGCACTATCACCTTCAAGTCTACCGTAAGTTGTGTAAGAGCAGGGGGCTTGTTTTTTTATTTTACTTTGAAATTTTGCTGTCTAAAGAACATTCATTTTTCTGATAATTGGGCTCCTGAGGTATTTTCATATTTATAAATATTTATATAAATGCTTTAATACCAGGCCAGCCAGGTAGCATGGTGGTTAAGGTAGTGGATCTGACATGGCCAACTCTGCAGTTCGAGTCCTAGACTTGGTGGCTTCAAGCAGGCCAGAACTTGTGCGTGTATGCCTCAAATCCCAAGAGGACAATGGAGGAGGAAAGACTGTGGTGTGGCCATCCCTCTGGGGTGATTTCTCACTCTCCCTCTTTCTCCAGAAAGAGAGAATGCATGCACTCCATAGCAAGCTAAAAATAAAATAGTAATAGTAATAAAGAAATGTATCAATACTTACGAAGAAGATGTAGCCTTATTCTAGTCCTGGCTTTGCCGGGGTGTAGCTATGTAATCTCCCCTCAGCGTTTGTCTCCTAGCCTTTTCTTCCCTTTTTATAAAATCTCGATAATCACACTACTCATCTCCCAGTGCTATTGTGAGGATTTAGTGAGATAATACATGCCAAGTGATTTAAAAAAAAAAAAAAAAAACAAAACTGGGGCCTACAGGTGGCGTGATTGTTTCGGGTGCTGGACTCCCACGTGGTCGACCACAGTTCAAGTCCCAGACTTGGTGGCTTGCTTTCTCACTTTCTCTCTCTGTCTCTGTCTCTCTATCTCTCTCCATCCCTCTCTAGTCAAATTAAATAAATAAACGAATAAACAAAGTTAAATAAAATCACTCTTTTTTTTTTTTTTTTTGAGAGGTTTTCATTATAGGGCGCGTGCGCTCGCCAGAAAGACAGAGAGATACAAAGAAAGAAATCATCCCCCGGGAGGATGGCCACGCTGCAATCCCTTCTCCATTCTCCTCCCAGGATCTTGGGCACGCATGCACACGCGCCTGGCATGAGTTTAAGCTGCCGGGTCCAGGACTCAAACCGCGGTCCCAATAAAATAACTGGGAGTCCAGCGACATAGCCATTATGCTAACTGCTGGTCCCAATAAAATAATTCTAAAAAAACCCAAAAACCTGTTGGGGCCAGCAGATGACATGGCAGTGAAGGCACTGGATTCCTACATGGCTGACCACGTGTTGAGCCCCAAACCTGATGGCTTGAAAGTCACACTTCATGAAGTGTGTGCTTGCCCAAAATCCCAACAGGAGAATGGAGAAGGATTGGGGTATAACCATCCCTTCTGGGGATGACTTCTCACTTTCCCTCCATCTGTCTCTCTCTAGCCAGTGCACACACCCTATAGCAAAAACCTAAAAAAAAAAAATTTTTAACTGTCTATTTGAAATAATTATAAATGCACAAGAAGGTGCAAAGAAATGCAGAGGGAGAGTCTGGGTACCCTTCTCCCAGTGTTAACATCTTCCGTAATAAAGCACCATATCAAAAGCAAAAAAGTGACATTGGTACATCTCTTTTTTTAATTATTTTATTTCATTGTATTTATTCATTCATTCATTTTAATTTGACCAGAGAGACACAGAGAGAGAGAGAGGGAAAGTGAGAAAACAAGCCACCAGGTGTGGGACTCAAACCATGATCAGCCATGTGGGAGTGTCCGGCACCTTAACCACCATGCCACCTGCTGGTCTTCCTGAAACTGGTATATCTATATCTTATTTAGAGCCCCCAGTTTTGTGTGCACTCCTCTACATGTGACTGTATGTGTTGCTCTGGGCAATGTAATCACGTGTAGCTTCGTGAACCACGACTGAAATCAAAGTAGTTAAGTGGCTCATCACAAGATTTCCTCCTGCTACCCCTCTGCAACCCCCATTAGTGCCTTCCTTTCCCACTAGGCCCTGGAAACAACTAGTCTTTCTACACCTATAGTGACATTACTTCGCAAATGCTATGTAGAGGGAATCATGCCTCCTCTACGCTTTTGAGATTGTCTTGTTTTGTTTTTCACTCAGAATAATTTCTTTGAGATTCATCCAAACCATCGCATGTGTCAATAGTTTGTACCTTTTTTTTCTGGGTGGTATTCCATGGTATGGATGTATTAGTTTGGATGATTATTCACCCGTGGGGATTATTTTAGTTGCTTCCAGTTTGGGGTTGTTACAAATAAAGCTGTTATGAATATTTGTGTAAAAGTTTCTGTATGAAGTCAGTTTTCATTTTTGTTGGATAAATGCCCAAGAATCAAGTCATATGGTTAAGTCCATTTTTAGTTTTAGAAGACACTGCCAAACTACTTTTCTTTTCTATTCCCACCAGGAACACATGACTGATCCGGTTTCTCCACCTCTCACCAGCATTAGGCTGGTGGCTATCGTTATTTTTAATCTAGCCATTCCGATGGGCGGGTAGTGCTATTTCATTTTAGTTTTAACTTGAATTTCTTTCACTAATGTTTAATGTGTTTTAAAGGTAAAACAGGAGAACTCTGAGCTCTCAGTATGGTGATGGCCCCCATACCCTGAGAGATGTGGTATGCAGCGCTGTCTAGAGTGTGGTCTGTCCACTGGCAGGTGCACCATCACCTGGGAGCTTTGTTGGAGATGCAAATGTTCAGGTGCTCCCACCCTTGAGGGTGAATGCAGCCTGCGAATCTGTGTTTAACACTCTGCCTGGCTTATTGCAATGCAGCTAAAGTTTAAGAAGCACGAACCTATATCCTTCCTGGCCAATATGGTGGCCACCAGCGACTTGCAGCTCCTCAGCCTCTGAGATGTGATGAGTTCAAGCGGAGGCATGCCAGAGTGTAAAGCATACCAGATTCCGTCTGTGTGAGGGTTTTGTTTTTGTTTTTGTTTTTGTTTTCTACAGGGCTTGTGTGCTCACCAGAGAAACAGAGACAATGAGAGGGAAAGTGAGAAATCACCTCCCGGGGGGATGACCATGCCACAATCCCTTCTCCACCATTCTCCTCTCCGTATTTTGGGCACACATGCACACGTGCCCAGTGTAATTTCCAAGCCACCAGTCTGGGGCTTGAACCATGGTCAACCATGTAGGAGTCCTGCACCTTAACTATTATGCCACTTGCTGGTCCCAGATTGTAATAATTTTCACAACTCCTTTCTGTTCCTGTTTTACTTCCTCATAGGTACAGACATGGTTCCCATAATTACACTGCTGGATGCATTGCCTTTCTAGCTCCACATTAGTCAGAAAGCTACAGGCCGGTACCTTAAGCCCTGATTCTCCTCCTCACATGGCCACAGTGGAAGGAGCAAACCCAACCACAGCAGAGTGGCCAAGAGAGCACTAAACTTACCATTCTCACAGTGGTCAATTCCTTATCTCCTGGCCAAAGGAAAGACCTTCCCCTTCCTCCTGCCAACTACAGATCTACTTGTTAGAATTTAAGTATGATTGTTCTTCAGTAACCCTTCGCTAGCCTAAAGCATTTTAAAAATATTTTTATTGGGACCAGCAGTTAGCGTAATGGCTATGTTGCTGGACTCCCATGTAGTCCACCACAGTTTGTGTCCCGGACCCGGTGGCTTGAAACTCATGCCGGGCATGTGTGTGTGTGCGTGCCCAAGATCCCGAGAGGAGAATGGAGGAGAAGGGATTGTGGTGTGGCCATTCCCCCTGGGGGGGGGGGTGATTTCTCGCTTTCTGTCTCTCTGTCTCTCTCTGTCTAGTGAGTGCACATGCCCTATAGCAAAAAAAAAAAAAAAACTCTCCAAAAAAAAGATATATATTTTATTTACATTTAATCACTGTATATCTTTATGGCATACCTGGTTTTTCCCAGCATGAATTCAATGCGTATTAGTCAAGTCAATGACATTATCATATACATTATCAACAGATAAACTTCATTTTTGTGTCTGTTAAATGTTGTTTTTTCCCTTGGTCCCCTCCCTCCCACCCCCTCCTATACTGTCTCTAGTATCTACAGTTGTTCTGCCTTCTACTCTGCCTTCTAATCTTTCAGCTTCTACAGAGCACAGACATTCAGTGTATATTAAGCAGGGACATACAATGCTTATCTCTTGTAGTCTAGTTTGCTTCACTTAGCCTACAACTTTTAGTTTGCCTTTTGATTGCTTTAGTAAAGGCATTTTTAAAATGGACTTTTAAAGAGGTTATAGATTTTTCACCAAGGATACTTTAAAACAAAACAAAATGAAATAACTCAAAGAAAACATACTGAAAAGAGAATTTAAAAAATTTTTTAAAGATTGTTTTCAAAGAGGAGTTGCTGATAAATTTCAACTGGTACTTGATAGTGTGTATTTGTGTATAAAATTTATATTTATTGACAAGAAAAATGTATAACAGTTTTGTAAATGTTAGCAAAATATACAATAGTTTTTATTATTGTAAATTCCATATATAATTGCCTTAATTGATTTTTGCTAAACATTTATTCTCTGACCAACCTGTAATTGCAATTGATAAATAAGTATGATTTGAACATGAATTTTTATTTAAGTGGAATAAAAAAAAAGTGACTCAACAAAGATAGATAGATAGATGATAGATAGACATAACTTCACTTGTTTACTAATGACATAAGCCACTTGTTGAATTAAATTATGTTTTTGGGTTTTATTTTTTTGATCGTTTTTATCTTGCTGCAGGGCCTGTATGCTCACTGGACAGAGACAGAGAGATGAGAGAGAAAGTAAGAAATTACCTTCCAGGGAGATGGTCATTGGAAATTCCTTCTCCTCCATCTTCCTGTCAGGATTTTGCCTTTTTTGTTTGTTTGATTGTTGTAGGGTGCATAGGCTCTTGGGAGAGAGACACAGAGAGAGAAAGAGGGAAGGTGAGAAAACAGTCCCTAGAGGGATGGCCACACTGCAATCCCTTGTCCTCCATTCTCCACTTGAGATTTTGGGCACACACACTCCCAGTATGTTTTTCAAGCCACCAAGCCTGGGACTTGAACTGAAGTGAGCCATGTGGGAATCCAGCTGTCTAACTACCACACTATCTGGCTGGTTTTCAAACACTAAAAGACTATTTCCTAATTCTGTTTGTGCTTCACAAAGTTATGGCTACAGAGATGATACACTGTTAAATTTAATCTGCATTAGAGGGGACCAGCAGTTACCGTAATGGCTATGTTGCTGGACTCCCATGTAGTTGACCGCGGTCCGTGTCCTAGACCCGGTGGCTTAAAACTCACGCCGGGTGCGTGTGCATATATGCCCAGATCCCAAGAGGAGAATGGAGGAGAAAGGATCGTGGTGTGACCATCCCCCCTGGGAGGTGATTTCTCACTTTCTATCTCTCTCTGTCTGTCTGACGAGAGCACATGGCCTATAGCAAAAATAAATAAATAAATAAATAAAACATCTCAAAAAAAAAATTTAATCTGCATTAGGAATCCTTCCTCCACGGCTATCATAAGCCTACAGTAACAGGCAACAAGACAATAAGTCAAGCCCTAGTTTATAACATTTGCCAGGGCCTATAGAGTAAACACTGCCTGACCATGGCTGATTTCTAAGACATGCAAGGTTGGCAAGACATGCCAAGCTGTACATCATTACAAAGGACAGATACAATAGACATAAATAACCTCAAGAAAAGGCAATAGTAACATGTCAAAAAGCAAGTGGGGAGCGATGAATTTTGAGTTATTGAATTTTGAGTGATGAATTATTACCGTTGTTTTTAATCGTAAGTTTTGACATTTAATTTTTAATGACAACTGTGTTTAACAGCCACCTTGCAAAATTTCTGAAAATTTAACACTTGTTCCTCACAGGTTGTATAAAGCAACTCCAATCCTCCACTGACTCATATATTTTTCCCTCATAGGTAGACTTGGGAAACCAAAAATTACGCAGAGTTTAATGACATCTATGAACAACACCTGTAATGTCACACTGACGTGTTCTGTGGAGAAGGAAGAACAAAATGTGACATACAGATGGAGTCCCCTGGGAAAAGCAGGGAATGTCCTCCATGTCTTCCAGAGCTCAGAGAATCAAAAGCTGAATTATACATGTACAGCCCAGAACCCCGTCAGCAGCAATTCCAACTCCGTCTCTGCCCAGCAGCTGTGCACAGGTAACCAACTCTGTCCATCTCTCTGGATAAGGCTTCGAAGGCACTCTGAGGAGCTACAAAGCCTGAACTGGGGCCTCATTCTCCAGGAAGATGTGCCTTCTTTATGCAGGACCTGGTGCCTGGGGGTATCTCCTCTCCAGAGCTCACTGGGAAAGAATCCAAAGCCTTCCAAGAGAAGTTAAGCCATTTTAGAGCATTTGTTTCATTCTATGAGAGAGACAGACAAAAAGGCACCCCCAACTGGGTCCCCATGCCACATGGGCACATGTGCACACACCTGGCATGCTCAGGGAGGTCCTGGGATGTGAACTCAGGACCTTGCCTATGTGGGTCAGCTGTATCCTCTCTGGGCCACTGTGTTCTGATGCAGCCTGATGTGTTTCTCAAGCCATCACGTCTGAGACACTGAACCACATAGTCAGTCAGCCATGTGTGATTCAGCCACCTTAATCACCATGCTACTGACTGACCAGTTTTCTTTTCTTTTTTTTATAACTAAAGAAGTCTTTATTTTTCACTAAGGCTTGATCTTGAGGGCAGAGCTAAACTGTGTCACCACTCCCAACCCCATCTTGAAGGATTAGTACAACGAATGTTATAAAGCAGATATGAGGTTTGAAAGATAAGGGTCAATATTAACAGACAAAGAACAATTTCCATCTAAATCATCATAAGAATGTTGAAGAAAAGAAGAAGAAGAAAAAGGGGAAACTAGAGTTTGATATTGAGCAAGATTCTCACGTCTCATCTATTCGATCTTGGCTAGAGTGTACCAAAATGGAAACAGGATACTAAGATACAAACTTCCAGTACATGGTGCTGTGCACACCTGTGCTCCAAGCCCCCCTTCCTTCCCTTAAGGCTTCCAGCTCAATTATTTGCCGGGTTGTTAAGCCCGCTGGCAAAGGAGCACATGCATCTCTTTAATCCAGACTTCATTATGCTAGCATGGCTAGGTATCAGCTTGTAGGCCGGGCAGCTGAGGTCTGTCAGGCTGTTGATAAAATCAAACACCTGACTGCTATGTATGTGATGGAGGGACCTGCTGGGACTCATGCTCTTCAGAGGCTCTTCACTTCACAGACACTTTCCATGCATTCATTCACAGATGCATAGCACAAGTTCTGCCTCTAGCTTCTTCGTAGATGGTATCAGCAAACTGGTGTGAGACATCACACCAAACTCTTCATTGGAGTGCTTCCCGATTTTTTTAAATAAGTATTTTAATTCATGATAAAGAGCACTTTCTTATGCATGAGAGAGAGAAAGAGAAAGAAAGTACCCTCCAAAGGGGACTGATCACACTGCAATCCTTTTTCCTCCAATTCTCCATGCTGTCAGGTTCCTGGGCACATGGGCTCAAACCCAGTGTGATGCCAATGGGGCTGGGATCTAAATCCCAGTCAGCCATGTGGGATCCAGTTTTCTCTGCACAGTATCTAACCACTGATTGGGCTGGCCCCTGATTCCGTTTCTGATCCTGGTCTTTAATAGTAGAAGTGCAGTTTCCTGAGGACATTCAGCACTCCTAAAATTGGCACCAATTTTGACAATGCCCCTGAATATGGACAAGCCTACCTAGCCCCTGGTCTGTTCCCTGAAGACTCACTGCATCTTCTGTTTCCAGACCATGTATCTAGCTTCCGTACTCGCCGCACCGGGCTGCTGAGTGGGCTGGCTGTGATCATGGTGCTTGTTCTCGTTCTGTCTTCAGTGTTCTTGTTCATCCTTTTTCGCAAAAGAGGACAAGGTAAGATTTTCCTCAGAAGGTCATATGTGGAAATGTACCTTCTTTCTTTCTGAGACTGAAGGAATTTATCCCAGGTGGTGTGAAGAGGTCCTTTGTTCCAAGGAATCAGTTTCCTACAATCCCCACCTACCATCTTCCAGGGTAATGGAGCTGAGGACTTTATGACGTCACCCTGAACGATCTCACCTGTCCTGGCATCACTAGTGTCTGGTGGCCCAGAACTCTGTGGGAGTTTAGTACCACCATTAATAAGCTGTGCTTCATTGGACAAGCCTGTCCCCTCTCTGAGCCAGTGTCCTCTCTCTGTGAAATGTTTGGACTGCTGAGTCTCCAGGGTGACTTCCAATTTCACTGTATTCTGAGAGTGGCCTTCAGAGAGTCATTGAAGGGTTTTATATTCCATGGTTACCAGTAGGTCCCTCTGGATCTCTCTGGATCTTCCTGTAATTGTGTTGCTCTCAACTCAGAAAACTTGATTTTAGATCCCTAAAGATTATTATACCCTCTCATCCCCCATAACCCCATGTCCACCCAAGCTCTTCCTTTCACCACCAATCACAATACAACATTTGGAATCTCTGCTTTCATGTCCCTGATTCTTCTTTGGGTCTGTTTCTTCAGGTTCCTACTTGAATACCTTCACAAAGAGCCCTGGTAAGTTCTCAGCCACAAATTTCCTGGAATAACACCTGGGAGGAATGGGGATACACAGAGAGGAGTTAAGACTAAGGAAATAGTGTGCACTCAGTCTGGGGCTGAAGGTCTCAGCTTGACTGTTATTTTTCTCTCTGTGAACTTCCATTTTTCTCAGTCATAAAATATGCATAACAATAGAGTGTGCTGTATATTTATACACTAGGGGACTCAATGGAATTGCACATAGAGAATACTTGGCCCCGTCCCTGGAACACAGTACATTCTCAGTTGAAGTTGGGTGTTATAACTGATGGACCTGGGCATGGTACAGAGGAGGCATTCTAGGGGTAAGGGGCTCGTGACATGCTCCACAACTCAAGTGGGTCACAGCGTGAGGAGTCACAGCCTGCTCAGGCTATGAGTGATCTGCAGGGTCTTGCTAAGAGAAATCTGTCTTCAGTCCCTCTCAGCTTCTCTCTGGATTTACAAATCAGATGAGAGACAGCACTCGGTCTGGCTCATGCACCACGTCTAAGACAGGGGCTAGGACAGAACTAGGCTCTAAAATGTTGAATCCTGGGGCCAGAAGGTGGTGTGGTGATTACAGTGGCTGGACTCCCAAATGGCTGACCGTGGTTCGAATCCCGGACCCAGTGACTTGAAAATCATCCCAGGTGCATGTGTGTGCATGCCCAAAATCCTGAAAAACAAATGGAGCAGAAGGGACTGCATTGTGGCCATCCATCCCCCTAGGGGGTGATTTCTTACTTTCCCTCTCACTGTCTCTGGCAAGTGCACATGCCCTACAGCCAAAACAAACAAACAAACAATTTTGAAAACTTGTGATATTGCTCAGATCAGACCTGTTGTTTGTGGATATGTTGGTGTCCTGGAATAGAAAGTCCCCAAATTCTGGCTACCCCTTTTCAACCTGACCCTAAAATGTTCCTTGTTAGTATCACAGAAAAGAGGTATCCTGGAAAGAATGCTTTTTTCAGCCCATAATTTTTTTTTTCCTTGAGAGATTTTTGCCTTAGGGTACGTGTACTGGCTAGAGAGAGAGAGAGAAATAGTAAAAGGGAAAATGAGAAATCGCCCCCTAGGGGGAAGGACATGCCATAATCCCTTCTCTTCCATTCTCCTGTGATCTTAGGCATGCACCCACACATGCCTGCATGATTTTCAAGCTTCCAAGTCCAAGACTTGAACCAAGGTTAGCCATGTAGGAGTCCAGTGATGTAACCACTATGCCATCCGCTGGCCCCCATAAATTCTTAAAGCAAGGACTCATCACTCCTATCTTTGTTTCTCTGGGGCCTTACACAGATCCTGGCACACAGAAGGAGTTTGATAAATGCTTACTAACTGTGTGAAGCAAGTCACAACTGCTTCTGGAGCAACTAGTATGAACGTAACATGGAAGTGGTTACAGTAAGGTATGCACCAGAAGAATGCAACACAGTTTACTCTAAGTGTGTTTAAAAAGTTCACAGAAGGGGCTGGCAGGTGACATGGTGGTTAAGGCACTGGACTCCCACATGGCTAACCACAGTTCGAGTCCCAGACCTAGTTAGTGGCTTGCTTTCTCACTTTCTTTCTCTCTTTGTCTGCCTCTCTCTGGTGAGTGCAGGTGCACTGTAGCAAACAAAATAATAATAATCAATTAAATTAAATAAATAATAATTTTTAAAGTTCACTGAAAATGTGTTTTATGAAAACATTATACATGGTTTGCAAAATTCGTACTTAAATACCTTTATTTCCACAAACTTTCTGAAGTTCCCTCATCTAATTAAACAGACTTAATCAAGTTAAAACACTAAGACTCCCGTGTGAAAAGTCAATTAACCATGCAAGACAGTCAATGCTAAGTGTCAGAAACACTAAGTAAAGATCCTAGAGGCTTGTGGAAGGTCTGCCTGTGACCACCCACACAAGGGGTGGGGAGATTGTCTTTAGTCTCATCTGGACACTAGAGTAAAAGAGAATTCCCAGTAAGCTCTAGGTGAGGCCTGGGGTATGCACTTTTTAGGAAAAAGAGAGACAGTTGAGGGCCCAGCAGGTAACATGGTGGTAGAGACGCTGGACCCCCATGTGGTTGGCCATGGTTTGCGTCCCAGACCCGGCAATTTGATACTCACATTGGACACGTGTGCGTGCCCAAATTCCTGAGAGGAGAATGGAGGAGAAGGGATTGTGGAATGGCTATCCCCCCTGGGGGGTGATTTCTTGCTTTCTGTCTCTCTGTCTGTCTGTCTCTCCAGTGAGTGCATGCACCCTATAGCAAAAATCTACTAAAATAAAAGACAGAGAGCCAAAGGACCTAAGACGATGGAAGCCATTTAACCTCTTAGAGCTTCATTTCTTCAGCTTAAAAGAGAACACAGAAATGGATCACCTCTGAGAACCCATCTGCCTTTCACAGACTCTGACATAGATGTTGCCTCAAAGAAAACAATCTATGCGTATGTCACGGTTTCAAGAGACACCCAGTCAGCGGAGTCCAGAATCTATGATGAAATCCCCCAGCCCAAGGTAAGCCGATGCTACTATGCCCACCCCTGTGCCCCGCCCCCACACCACCAACAACAGGAAGTCTGGGTGACCAGTGTCCTCTGCTTGCTGCTACCTGGAAAGCAGCCAGAGGTAAGAGCCTGGAGGCTTCAACAGGAGCTTCAACAGGAGCTGCCACGTCGGGGAAACGATGCCTCAATTCTCTTTATGGGGACAGGAATGAGGCCAATCCTTACCCCAGAGCAGCCTCCAGGGTGAAGAGCCTGTGAGTTTGCACGGGGCCCTGGCTCGGGCTCGGATGCGATCACGACTAAGAGTGAAGCACTCCCTAGAGTGAAGGGGCCCCTGGAGTGAGGTGAGGTCCTGTCCTATGGCCCCGGCATGGCCAGGAGGTTGCTACAGGGACTCTGGGATACAGCGCTCGGAGGCCCTGGAGCTCCACGTCCTGTGCAGTGGCCGCAGACACAGGTGCAGAGTCACTCTGTTCCGGTCTGCCCCTCCATCCAGAATCTCCTTCCACCAGTCCTAACCCTAACCTTCCCCTGAAATCTGCAAGCGGGGAAGTGAGAAACAAGCCTGCCCAGTAAATCCAGTGCAGTGCTTGGACTGATAGGGCAGCTGGATCTGTAGACCCCACAAACAGCTAAACTCCTCATTGGGCAAGGACTCCCTCTGAGCTACCCCAGCCCCATACTCTGGGCCCTGCACACTCACTCTGCCCTGTCACCACTGGACCCTCATTCTTTTCAAAGACAGATGGCACCAGAGTTGAGGCTGGGAGAGGAAGCCACCTAGTAACCGTGGGCATAGGGAGAGCCGTGGGTGGAAGTGGGCTCAAGATCTGGTGGGGGCTCCCGCACTGAGGAGAAGATGGGTGCTTTCCAGGCACTTTCCTCCAAGGAAGAGCCAGCGAACAGTCCTTACTCCACTGTGCAGTACTTGGATAAGGTGAGCCCTTCCTGCCTTTCATCCCTGTCTTCCTAAGCCTCGGCCATTCTGGAGCTCCCCATCCCCTGACCAGGGGTCAGTTGGTTCCCCTGGGACTCCCTGGTACTTCTCAGAAGTCACTGTCAGGGGGTTGGTTTAAAGGTCTTCCCATCCACATCCAGGCCCTCACTCCCCAGGGCCACAGCCACCTGCAAGGTGGCCCTCCTAGGATGTTGATCCAAACACGGCAGGAGCCCCTTGGCCTCTGAACTAATGCACAGCTAGTTCAGCTCCCAGCATGCAAGTTAGAAAACGGGAGTCTCCCTGAGTGGATACAGGCACACCCCCCCTGCAGGTCAACAAATGGACGCAGGTTCAGTTTCAGTTCTGACTTGCTCGCTTGGCTGCCCCTTCACAGGGCACAACTCGCAGAACTTGGTATAGTGGTTCGATGACAGCCCCAGTTCCTTCTGCCTTAGTGTCCTTCTCTGGAATATGCAGCCCTGCAACAGAACTTTACATCTGGGGACCCAGCGAGGGGTTGTCACTGCCTGAAGGTGCTCACTTCTCCCACAGTGAGATCAGTTTTGAGGGCATTGGATGAATCGAATGCTTTGTGAGCATTCCTGTTTAATAGCCAGGGTGCAAGAAGCTAAAGCAAGTAAGAATGAATGGCTGGTAGGGGCCAGGTGATGGTGCAACAGGAAGATATGCTTGCAAGGCTAACCCACATGGGGAGGAGCGGGATTCACACACAGAGAGCCTCCCCAGTTCATGGGATCCATGACCCAGGGCTGGCTAAGTCTGGGGGTGGGTTGTGGCATCAGATCCCTCTTGCGGGTGCTATCTCTCTGTCTCTGTCTCTCTCACTCATGGAAGAGATCAGTAAACTTAAAAATAATAATATCTAAGAAGTGACTCTCTAAGGCAGGAAGGACAACATCTGTGAGCTGGCCAAGCAGAGAGGCACCACCTCCTATGTACGAGGGTCGAGAGCTGAGACTGGGAGAGGAAACCACCTAGTAATCGTGGGTGTGGGGAGGGCCATGCACGTGCACTTCTGTGGTTATAGGTGGGGTAGCATTTGAATGTAAAGATAAGCCAAAGGCCCCAGAGAACCAGAGCGAAGGACCTTTACTTCCTCAGTGATCAGGAGGGGGAAGGAAGAGAAAGGAAAAGAGGGAGAGAAGGGAGGAAAGGAGAGCCAGAAAAGGGGAAGGAGACGTGAGAAATGAGGGGCTGGGATCTGAAGGAGAGTGGGAGGAAGGACAGTCACCTCATTTCTCGGCTGGCTGGCCATCAGAGAAAGAGATAACTCTAAGGATTAATCAGGGAGACCGGAAACACATTTTGAGGTAAACCCTTACAGACAAGGGGGATGACAATGATTAATCAGTCCGTGTGTAACTGAAACCCTGAGACTCCTCAAGCCAATAGGAAGGGTGTCTGGAGCACTCTAAAGGGTGTCTGGAGCACATCTCATCTGAGATGCTGCCGGTGACTCGCCACAGGGTAGAGGTGACAGTGGAGTTACTGGGGCACAGAGAACTAGGCTCTACCAGGAACAAGGGAGGCTGGGAGCTTGACCTGGAGCCTCAGCCCAGAATCAGTGTCAGGACAAACCAAATACTGTCCATCTCTCATTCTACTGCTCCTTTCTGCACTAAGAAAATGGCCCAGAAGCTCCTAAATGGAGTGACTGGAGTAGAGTGAGGGACACAGCACGGGGCAAGGCCCTGCCACCCCAGGTATCCCCAGCATGGGGAAAGCTAGAGCGTCCCCACCCTTCAACCCCAAGCCACATCCTTAGCTCTCCCAGGCTCCTCAGGGGACGGGAGTTCCCTGGCAGCACCTGTTCTCATATCCCCCTCTTGAAACAGATGGAGAAAGCTGACACCCAGAACAGCAAACCTCCTGGGACTCCAAGCTATGAATTCGTGATCTAGGCCACCAGCTACGCACTCTCTCCAGGCTTTCTCTGCCCAGTTCTTACCAAGAGATTGTAAATCACCACACCCCTGCATACAAGCCAAGCAGATGAGCCTGCGTTGCTGGGCCTAGCTTGTGCCTAGACGGACAGATGGATCCATGCCCTTTCTGAAGAGCTCCCTCTGGATCGGTGACAGAGCAGGTTCCCAGAGCAGCGCTTCCCAAATGTCCACATCACAGCCCGTGTAGAAAACAGTATTTTCACAGCACACGAGGGAAGCAATCAGGGTTGCTCATGTCTGGAGGCTTCCCATGACCGGAGGTGACCACTCTACCTGGCAACCGTGGGAGGAGGAGATCAATATGTTGCACACCTGCAATGTCCATGGCACATCAGCAAGGACTTCCTGCTCACACTCAATACACTCATGTGCCAGGAGCCCTGGGGCAGGCCCTCTACCACTCCCTACAGCATCTGCAGCAAAGGGGAGCAGAGTGTGAACTGCGGGTCAGCGCCCACAACCTGCTGCGCAGTGTGCACCGAGGGTCAGAGCCCATATCCTGCTGCCCAGGAAGCTTCCGGCAGAGTACAGTGGGTGTGGCCAGCTCAAACATAGACTGCGGTACTGCAGGGAGGCTGCCAGAGTGCAGCTCTCAGTCTGTAGACACACTCCCTAGCGGAGTGTCAGAAATGTGATTTCTGCAGGGTCTGCTGTGCTGGGCACCGTTTTCTTAGGCTCTGCTTCAGAAATCTTGGAGAGTTTTCTCTCTGACCAAGTTTGCTCTCTGCAGCCTTAGTAAGAAGTAGCAGCCACACCCAGTACTCCCACTCCCCAAAAGGAATTGACCAGCAAAGTTTCTTCCACTTCAGGAGAACTGGGTGTAAACAGATCACCAAAACAAGAGATCTTGAAGGAGGCAGAGTCATTCTTCGGAGGGAACTTGGGGGGCAACAATGCAAGGGTTGAGACTGGGTGCATACCAGTTCCTAAGGCACAGCTCAGAGAGCCGTGGGGTTCGAGCAGATACTGAGTGCATTGACCCTGATGTCTCCCACCAGCACACAGCCAGCTGGCTCAGGCCAGCCTTAACTCCCAGCAGTGAGGAAGGATCACCTACAGCTGAGCAAGACATTCACGTGATCTTCCAAGGAAGCATCTCCCTGTGTTAGCCAACATAACTAGCCACATCCAAAATTCCCACCCCAGCTCCAGGCTGGACAGCAGAGATAAGTTGCATTTAGGCAGAATGAAGGAGTCAGTGCTAGAGAATGGATCCACAGAACCATCTAGTACTGACTAGCCCTCTGTTAGAGGCTCTAAGGCCCCAAAGTATAAAATGAACATAATGTCTGCCTATGTCTGGTGGAAAAGGCAACCCCAGCACAGACATTTCAATTTTCCTGGTATCACCAGTCAAAATTAATCATGCCCCCCCCCTTTTTTTTCTGGAGAGGTTTTCACTATAGGGCGCGTGCGCTCGCCAGACAGAGAGACATCACCCCCCCAGGGGGGATGGTCACACCGCAATCCCTTCTCCTCCATTCTCCTCTCGGGATCTTGGGCACGCCCGCACACACGCCCAGTGTGAGTTTTAAGCCACCGGGTCCAGGACGCGAACCGCGGTCAACTACGTGGGAGTCCAGCGACATAGCCATTACGCTAACTGCTGGTTCCCAATCATGGCTCTTTTCACACCCTTTCTTTTCCCTTTTGATCCTTCTACAGGGGATTTCAAAAAGTTTGTGGACAAAAATAGAATTAAATTATGATTTCATTGAAGTATAAGAAATTTTGAAATCTTACATAGTTTGTTTTTAGTTTTGCTATAGAACACATGACTTGCCAGTGACACACACACACACACACACACACACACACACACACAGAGAGAGAGAGAGAGAGAGAGAGAGGGAAAGTGAGAGGGCACTCCCTGGGGAGAGGACCATGCCAAAATCCCATCTCCTCCATTCTCCTTTTGGAATTTTTTGAGCACACATGCACATGCGCCTGGTGTGTCTTTCTAGCCACTGGGTCCAGGATTTGAATGGTGCAGGTGGCCACATGGGACCTAGTGCTTTAACCTCCACACCACCTGCTGGCCCCATGTATTTTTTTTTTAATGATACCCACTTTCTGTGAATTTTCTGAATACCCTTCATCTCACTATAATTCATTTCACACTGCCTTGCAGCATAAATAGCTATTTGTTTTCTTCACCACATTGTACACTACTTAAGGGCAAGATCTGTGACTTAGCAATGCTTTACTCACTCCTGTAATCACTGCCATGCAACACAGAGCCTTGCACCCTGTGTGTGAGCAATAAATGCTGTCATATAGAATCGAGAGTGGCTGGTCAGCTCCAATACAGGGTCCTTGGTGGGAGTAGAGATCAGTAGAAGCTAACAGCACAACAAAAATCAATTCCAGCAAGCAAACCCGGGATGCAGACCCCAGGGGTCTCCCAGGGATATAAGGAGATCTTGGAGGAAGAAGACTTTCAGAGTTAGACCAACTAGGTTAACTGAAGCACTGAATCAGGTGTGAGGAGGTGAAAACTAGTGCCCTGAGGAGGGGCATGACAGAGGAATGAAGAGACTTGGTCACAAGGGATGGAGAAGTCCTGAAGTGACCCCGAGAAAGCTGCATCTCTCCTAAGAGAAGATCACTCCTCGCTCTGCAGAGGAGTTGGGGGATCGCTCCTGAACGTCTTTGTTCTCTAGCCTGGCCCTTCCCCCCCAGGTACATTGAGCTCACTCAATAAAATCCTAGGGTCTTAATGCCCCATTGTGTAGTAAGAAAAAAAAAGAAAAAGAAAAACAGGAGGCTCAGCCATGGTGGTACAGGTGGTGGCATACCCATCTGCAGTGCTGGAAGCCACATGGCTAACCACAGGTTTGTATCCTGAGTTGACACACCAGGTGTGTGCATGCCCAGGACCCTAGCTAGCTGGAGGGCTGGGGGGAGGGGATTACAGCCTAGTGAGACCTTGTTGAGATTACTTGTCTCTGCTATCTCTTTCCTGAAAAAAAAAGTCTATATAATTACATATATCCGCAGAGACAAACAGACACAGCCACACACATATATACTGGGAGGGAAGGTAGTCAGAAAACTCATGACGGATTTTCCTATGCAAAAATCCGTCATGACTTTTCTGACAAATACACACACACACACACACACACGCACACACACACACACATATTTACAGTGAGAGAGAGAGAGAGAGAGAGTGGAATCGGAAGCAAGAGTTCCATGTTCTTCCAGAGAAGCAAAGCTGGGCTAGGACCATTGCACAGAACATCTTGAGGTGGCCTGTGGGCTCAGGGCAACGCTGCTCTTGTCTCTCAATGCTTCTTTCTTATGAATCTCCTGATTAATGGAGATGTGAATCAGCCCTCTCCCTAGGGCTCAGTTCTCAGGTTATCTTTCTGTGAAATGAATTCATCGTATTTTCCCCTTCACAGATTTCCAGAGGAACTGGATTGTGACCAATAGGTCTATTCAATCTAAGTATTCTTCCAATGGAACAAAATCTTGTATCAGAACAAGACGTGCCAGTTTTGTTTTTTGGGGTTGTTTTTTTAATGAGTATTAAAATAGAAACTTCAGGGACAGGGCCCTCTAGTGGTAAGCTTCAGTAAGTCAGGCCAGTCCCTCTGCTGCAAACAGCCAGGTACTTTACCAGGGGACTCAAATGAGAAAATGAGAAGTGCTGCAGTTCATGTCTCTTAGAAGAAGAAAGTGAAGCTTGTTTGAAGCACGATTTTTAAAAAATCTATAGTACACTCGAAACTACACGTCCCATACAAGAAGAGTTTGACCGGGTCACCTTGGAAACCAGGCTTAGGTGGGAAAAAACTGCCAGATCTGAGCTGTGACAGGTTCCTTCTAGAGAGAAGAAATGGAAGGCAGTATTTTCATCTAGATCCATTACTTTTCTTCTGCTTGATTCTTCTCTGAATTCCCCTTGATTTGTACAGTTTTCATGAGAATAATTAGTGGCAGTCACTACTAGCTGTAAAATGAAGCTTGGAAAGTGGAGACCATTAAGAGGAAAAGCAGCGAGCAGTCTCACAGGAGTGCCCAGGTCTGAGCGCTGGCTTGTGACCTCAGACAAGTGCTTTAACCTCTTGTGCCTCAGCTCGTCCATCTGTAAAATGGGAACGAGGACACTTCTTCCCCTGCTCGACTGATGCGGAGATTAAATGAGGTGCTATGACAAGAATACGTCTGCAAATGATAAAGCTCTCGGTCATTTTATAAACTGTTCTTAACATAGCCAGTATCTTCATAATACGCAAATCCAAACTTAAGAAATAAACCTCTTGCAACAGAAATGTAACAGCAACTGTGCCGAATTAATGTTGGGTACCAAACTTTTAACTTTCAGTCCTCTTCAGATATATTTTATTATGTGTCAAATCTGTTCCCTTTATTATAAGGAAGGTCCTCAAAACATTTATGAGAAATGCTGTTTAGCACCAAAATTAATTCATACTGTTCAAAGTTTATTTATTTCTTCCATAAGTAAGAGAGACAGAGAAACTACACCCCAACAGGGTCTTGGCACAGAGTACACCTCAGCCTCATCCAGCCCCTAGTCATGGGCACACACAAGCCCGAGCACTAACAAAGCCTCCAGACCCGAACCTGGAACTTACCACGTGGGTCACCCTCGCAGAGCATCGAGATTTTACCACTGCATCACCATCTGGCAGCTAAGCTCAAACTTTAATTCCATTTTTCATGAACTTTTTACAGTGCTCTCCTATTTGGGGGCAAAAAAAAAAAAAAATTTTTTTTAATCCATGCAGTTTTTTTCTAACATGGATTTTCCACAAACGTTTGAAGACTCCTTGTATTTCATTTAGCATCCCTCTAGCTACCTGACACTATCCTGTCTCCCCAGTTCTAGGAGAGAACAGAGACTATATCGCAATAATCAGTAACAACAACAGTGGAAATGAAGAAACCCTTGTGTACGACCGGTACACTAGATGTCACTATAACAGTCCTGTAAAGTTGAAGTTCATTCTTTTATTTTACATGAAGGCCAAGGGAATAAATGTCTTAGCCAAGTCGGAAAGTTGGAAAGATAGGATTTGAACTCAAGACTCTTGGCATCGAGGGCTATGCACTTGCATTCTGCTACCTGATGTGCATTCCAAACACCTGGCTCTTTGCTCCAACTCGATGCATAACCTGTGGACCACAAATATCTGTTCAATGAATATTGGCATATACTAATATTTCAGAGGTACTGAAAGTAGTTCACTTAAAAGATGATTAGATTAAAAATTACTTTCATAATCAGAAATAGTTACTTAATTTTTTATTTTTTTGGAGAGGTTTTTGCTATACGGTGTGTGTGCTCGCCAGATAGACAGAGAGAGACAGAGAGACAGAAAGCGAGAAATCACCCCCTAGGGGAGAATGGCCACACCGCAATCCCTTCTCCTCCACACCGCAATCCCTTCTCCTCCATTCTCCTCTCAGGATCTTGGGCACACACGCACACACGTCCGGTGTGAGTTTAAGCCACCGGGTCCGGGATGCGAACTGCAGTCAACTACATGGGAGTCCAGCGACATAGCCATTACGCTAACTGCTAGTCCCATCTGTCTGCATTTTGAGAAGAGCTAGTTTCTTAGAAACAAGGGACCCAAGTCATAAGCATTTCTGATGAGTTGTCATGAAATAAAGAGAAACAGCGTAAATTTCTACTAACACCACAAGAATAATACAGAATACAAAAAGAGGTAAGAATGTGAAAAATTACGCTGCATTAACTAGTGGTTAGAAAACAGCTGTGTACATTTAGACTTTAACAAGCCCACATTCAAGTGTGAGGATCTTTTGTGACTTTTCAAAATGTAATAACATGTTAATACATTTTTGACAAAGGACTGTTTATAGAAGTCCTGAACTCTGCCTTGGGGAAGCAAAGTAAAAGCGAGTACATTCCCTGTTGAGAAATGTACATTGAGAATTCGTCACAAAATGGATGATAACTATTAGCTCTTGCTGACTGATTGCCCAGACAGCTTTGAAAAACCCCACACACAAACTCTAGGTTTGGGTCGCTTCAACTCTGTGACCTGAAGAATGGTCATATCTTTGCAAATGAGAGACTTACTGTAGGCAAATAATGACTTAAGTTACCCGTCAGAGAATCATTCAAATGCACATAACTCAACTCTTTCCTTATAACCCCCTGTTTCCCCAACTTGCTCTCCTTCTGCTTTCCCTCTGTGAAATAACAGACCACCATAATCATAATAGCTAACGTTTATCAAGTGCTTACATTCTCTGCCCTGTTTCACATGTACTCACTTAAATTCTGTAAGAAACATTCCAACTCATCTGTCTTATGAACTAGAGACATTCGTCTTCCATTTTACAAATTAAGAAACCGAGTCTGAAAGGCTAGATAGTTTGTCCAATAAATAGGAAAGTGCCGAACAGTGTTCTTTGTTTTATTTCATTTTGTTTCATTTGATTTTACTTATTCCATGAACCATAGAGAGAGGAAGAGGGAGG